ACGTTTATATGCCGTGGCACGCGCCGACCCTCGTCGTTGCCGCCTTGCTGTGTGAACGAGATAACAAAAAGAGGCGGAAAGACGTTCCTTCAAGATCCTAGCTCGTCGAGCTTCCTATTCGTATCCATTCGCGTTCGCATTGAAAACAGGTCCCTCGAGCTACTAGCATTCATTTGCGTTCACATTATCAATTCCGAGCAAACAGGCAGACAAGCGAAAAAAATTCGATGGAGAAACATGATCTCTTAGCGGGGCCTGCTAAAAAAAGAACCTGCGAGTTCCGCATGGGACTGGATGTCAGCTGCGGCTGGTGCAACAAGATTCATTGACTCCGTAATTAGAGCGGATCAGAACGAGCGTTGGCATCTCGCTAAGCCTTTCGCTGACAAGACACGCTGCCCTGTCTCAGGAGCGAGTCGGCCGGGAGGCCCGAGCTGAGCGCGTATGCTCCCGACGCGGTGCCCGGATCCATTTGTTCCGGATCCCCGAATCGGACACCTCCATGAGGAGCATCGGTGCATAAGCGTCGTAGGAGTTAAGGTCGTCGTTCGAAAACGGTGAAGAGCTGTGGGCGCACAAGAGCACTCGGTCGATCTCGCTCGGGAGAATCTCATACATGGATGGGCTACAGCTCGGAGGGCATCCATATCAGAGGACCTCGAGTCTCTCAACGAGGGAGGAAAAGGCCTCGAGACCTATGTGTTGGCACCACGGAGGCCCATTGAGCACACAGTGACAGCATTGGTAACTATGTACGATGACTACGAGGGCGATACGCCCGGTTAGATCTATTCAAAGTGGTCTCGTTTCTTTTGTTGGTGCCAACAACTTGTGCAAGTGGAGCAACAGCAGCGTGGGGACGACACCGACAGCGTTGACAAATACAATAGTTCCGAACTTACGAAACGTCGCGACGCTGAGTCGTTCTGATTCCCCCTCGCGGTTTTTTCTTGGCGCGTGAAGCGAACCTTGACGTCCCGCAAGCGATTTCGAAGCTTGTTGACGTCGGTAAAACATTAATCGTCATCCGCAAACATTGTGGAGGTTTGGTGGAAAGTGCCGAAAAGCGAACAAACTAGCAAACGATGGTTGCACGCTGAAACGAATGGACCGAGGGACAATGGGACGAAGAGACCAACCGACCGAACGTTCGCTCGGTGGGTGGGTGGGTCGCTCGGTCAGCCGGTCGACCGGCCCACGACGGCACCAGATAGAAAAAGAGGAAGGCCTTTCAAAAGGTCCCATCGGAGATGGATTGTTCCCATCGGAAGGGAACACGGCCACTTCAGATGAAGGCTTCTGCAATTCGGCCGCTCTGGACCGAGCCCTCTGGCTCTCCTACCGCCACCGCCGCTACCGCCGCCTCGTCCCAATGTACGCGTAAAGCAATGTTGGACATTTGACGGCACAGATGACCGAGTCGGCTGGCGGACAGGAATAAGCCGAATGACGAAACGCTACGGATAGGGCGGATCTCCGCTCTTGTAGGGCAGCGAGCGCTCTGCGTTCGCTGAGCATCACAATCTGATGGAGTGAACAAGTCGCCATCTTGTGCTTAACTGCCGGAGAGTTCTCACAGTGCTCCCTCACTACAGTTCCCCGGGGTCAGACAGCCTGTCAAGCGACCGATACGCAAAACTTGAGAGCGATTCACACACCAAGTGCAGATTCGCGTCGACCAAGCTAATTGAATCAGACGAGACGTCGCGTCGTGACGTCGCGTGTGAATCGACTACCGATCAGTCCCTCTGGACACTGCGAGAGGTGTTGCTTCGAAAACCTCGGGGTTTCCATTTTCTTCGATCGAATGCCGGGTAGTTTTCTACGGGCCAAGGTCGGCGGAGGTCTAGCTCCCTGTTTCCTCTGCGTTGGGGTCTGGCAAGGCGAAACGCCCGGGAAAATCGAAAAGTTTAGACCCACGTGACTATTTTCGGACACGTTCATGGTCGAGGAAGGTGAGGACTTCCCCGAGCATCCTCGTGTATTTATAGCGCGATCCGACGATCCATCCAGTCAATAGAAAATTTTGCGGAACTCCCTCGTCAACGCGGCGCCGTCGGAGCAGATTCATCCGGCGACTAGGCAAGGGACTCCTCCAGAGCGAAATCGAATCTTGGAATAAGGCAGGTCCGCGCCCCACTGAAATCAATTTTTTAGACATGTTTGCCGTAAACACGACCACCGTAAGAGCTTTCCTATGTTTGGAGAAACTACAGACGCTCTTCGACCCGCGTAGCTGCGGAGAGGGACCTATTCGGCGACAGAGAACCGTCTTCGAATGTTTTTCCTTTCTCGGGGAGGAAGAACTTGCAGCAGCAGCAGCAGCAGTAGCGGCCACTGAACGCTCCACCATTACGGGAATTACTCCTCGTCTCTGCCCGGTCACAGTGCGTATGAGCGCGCTCGGCTGTCCATAGCCCCGGATTCTCTCGCTCCCCCTCTCTCAACTCTCCGAGGTTTTGGCTCGCGAGCTTCCGACAAAGATTCCGTGAGATGGGGTTCCCGAAGATCATCGCTGAGGGCCTACATCGAAACGGACTGAGGGCCAAAAGGAGTCGTTGGTTTCCTCCAACTCGCGGGAATATCGGAATGAGGAGAAGAATCTCAGACGGTCGATGGGCTTAGGGAAAAAGTGTGGCACGCGGGGAATGGAGGGGGAAAAGCTCTGTTCAGCTCGCGATTTACCCACCACCGGAAGGAGGCTTCAAGTTATTCAACGAACAAGCAGGGAACGTTTTCCCGTCTCCGGCGCCACTGCCACCACCACCACGACTAACGGTTTCCGATTTTTGTTTTCCTTCGCAAACGACCAAGAAGCGAAATTTCCTCTGCAAGAATGAAGACGTGGAGGGGGCAGCTGAACGGAGAGAATGCGGGCAGCGAGAAGAACGAGAGACTCGTTGCCGAGATTGCAAGAGGTCAAAGCTGATCGCAAATGCAAAAGTTCGCGCTGAGATTCATCGATGCTCGCCATTCTCCCGAGACCTGAGAGACTTGGAGAAATCTTCGAATCAGAGTATCGCTGATTTGGTACAGAGTTCAGACTCGAAGGCCACTTTTTCGGCTGGCAAAATCTAGGATTCCCTCCCACTCGAATGAAATTTCCGGCGCCGTAGCGAGCTGATATAGCTGTTGAATACTGAAACCGGGTATCCCTCGAACGGATCGATCGGATTCCACGAGGCGAGTTTTCCCACCAAGATCTGCGAGCATTGATAATGAAGAGTGTATCAGTGCTGACCGAAAGCCTATCGATGTGCAATTCTGTCTGGCTGTTTGGGTTGAAAGAGATTCACGAATCTCAGATATGTACGAAAGCTATGAGTTCACGCTTTTCAAAATGTCGAGCGTCATCCGGCCTGCGTTGTTCCGGTGACGTCATTCATTCGTACGCCCTGAGCTTCGAGACATGACAATCATGCTCGAGGTAGCTCCGAGAGGCTTGTCCCCCTGAGATTCCACGACTCCCTTGTTGGCGGAGAGATTCAGATTCAGGTGGAAAAATTGGCCCTCATTCTTCCTCAGTTTCACTCATTCCTCTTCCGACTTTTGTAGGCTCGCCTTCATAAGCTTCCCAAATGCTGTCTCCGCCATTTGGGGATGCTATGGAGGTCGAATTATTCCCGCGAGAGAAAGCAAGAAATTCCGAAATCATGAATGTTACCGGGAAAAAAATCCAGTTTCCACGGGAATTCCGTTCGTCTGCTTTGTTACGGACTTTCCTCCGGACGTTTCTACCTTGTGAATAAATTCTGGCTATCCCACCGGTCCGCGAGGCTCTTGCGGCCCATTAAACGGGAATCACCCGACTTTCAATGTGGGAGCTCTCATCTGGGTCTCCAAATTCTCTTTTAGTTTTATCCATGAATGACTACGCCTCCAATCCAAACGTGCCCGAGCGTTTAGCGCTGAGCGTGGTCACCGTTGTAGATATGTCCTGCCCAGGATGACGGCGATTAAGGAAGCTCTCACTCGTCCTCGTCATGAAGGTCAAAAGCTGAATCGATAGGTTGACTGCGCACGCGGAATACCCGCGAGGAAATTGAAGAACCTGTTCCAGTACTCCGAAGTTCATTGTATACTATCCCGATCCATAGAGATAGTTTGGGCTCAAACACGGATGTCGCCGGAACAAGCGGTCGAATCGCAGTAAGATTTTGAGCGCATTCAGAGTACACCCCTGAATCCTGTGTCTTCGATGATTATTCATGATTCCGCGGAAGCTTCTTCCTTCATTTCCGCTCTCTATGCTAGAGAAATAGACAAATGCAATTCGGAATACAGTCCAAATGGCTCGCTCCCGAACGTGACTAGCAGGGAAAATATCGGAAACAAGGCGGGCATACCGTACAAGTGATTCAATGCTTCGAGATGGAAAACGGACTCGCTGCTCTACGTCTCAGGTCAAGCAGCATGTCGTTCCCGCAGTTAGTCAATTCGAGTTCGACCCTTACGGTCCAGTTGAAGAGTTTCCGTACGATTCCCTCGATCGATGCCGCACGACTCCCACCTGTGATGATCACAACTTCGACACGGCGCGAGAACTTCGACACGAGAAACTTCGACACGGGATCACACTGTGATCCCGTGTCGAAGTTTCTCGGGGAGCTTCTCGAGAAAAATAAAATTTGCGGACTTTCAATGAGGAGCATACGAGTCGTCAATTGTGAGCTTCGTTTTCGAAGTCCCGCAATCTCAGGAATTCGTAATCCGTGAGGTCAAAATGGGCGTTGCGGGGTGATTTCGAATCGCGATTCCGGAATTCTCGCGAGCGGCACCTCTTGAAGTCCACCCTCGGGTCGAACACGCAGTCCGAGGTTCACCCCATGCTATCTTCTCGTCGGAGAGCACTCTGGAATTCAGGGGTCGGGGTCGGGACCGTGCAGCCTCGCGCTGCGCTCTCTCCTCGTGTGTGGGAGCTCTGGCCCCTTAAAAACCGTGAGACTGATGGAGCAGAATCAGTTCAACTCGTGTCTTCTGAACGATCTGAAGCATCCTCAACCCTCATTGCGAAAATGGCCAAGGGAGATAAGCCTCGTGGACGTACGTCGGCGTATGCCTACTTCGTACAGACGTGCCGCGAAGAGTACAAGAAGATGCACCCGAACGAGAATGTCGTGTTCGCTGAGTTTTCGAAGAAGTGCGCCGAGCGCTGGAAGACCATGAACGAGCCCGAGAAGCAGAGATTCCAGCTCATGGCTGCCAAGGACAAGAAGCGATACGAGGACGAGATGTCGACCTACGTCCCCAAAGAAGCTCCCCGAGGCAAAGCTGCCCGTAAAGAGAAAGACCCCAACGCCCCGAAGAGAGCTCTTTCTGCTTTCTTCCACTTCTGCCAAGATGAGCGTCCTAAGGTCAGGGCAGAGCTCGGACAGTCTACCGTCGGGGAAGTCGCAAAGCAACTCGGCAAAAAGTGGCAGGAGTGTACCGGAGAACAGAAGAGTAAATACGAGCAGTTGGCGGCTAAGGACAAGCAGAGGTACGAGCTCGAGATGGCTGCCTACAAGAACGGTGGCGTCGCTCCCCCGGCGCCACCCAAACGGGACGAAAACAACGATGAAATCGAGAGCGAGTGACTGGCTCCAACCCGTGAAGACCCATCAGCTGACCCCAACGAAAAAACTGCCGACCGGATTAGACCCCGTAAACTCATGTTTGGAAACATACCTGATTCGTATTAAATATTCAGTTCTCTACAGAAAAAACTTAGCCGACTTCATTCTATGTAGAAAAGAATCTTGGTTGAATATTGCCGGCTGAGGCTGATCCGACCGAATTTTCTAGCCATTTTGAGACTTCATAGAGCAAAATACCCGAGTCTCACATGTCGTCGATCTCGTATCGCAGGCCGCGGGTGATACCAAGCGATCGGGGATTTTTCTCGGTCATCTACAGCCAGGGCGTGAGCACCATTAGATATCAAAGTAGGAGCGGATTCTACTTTCCGCACTCTCTGGCTGACGTCGGAGAAGCAGGGGCTTTCTCTACCCTAATAAGAGGAACTCCCGTCTTGTTTTATTCTGGCGTCCTCGAGCTGGAATAGGTATTAGGCAAAGGGATCTTCATCATCTCATGAGCAGTCTTCTGACATGAATATTCAAGTCTTCATGCGCCGCGCCTCGTCTTCGTCGGTCTTCAATGATCATTTAGTCATCAGTCATCAGTCGACCAGCAGCAGGGCTCTCGCTCAAAGTATCCAGATAAACTATCCAAATATTCTCTGGACCCGGCATGCATCTTCATCCCTAATTCCTACGATAGGAAATGCAGCTTCATTGATATCGCTCCAGCTTCACGAAGTCTCCACAGGATGGCCCTCGCTCGGAGGAATGCTGCCGAAGGCTGCCCTATGTGCAGCTTCTGAGGGATGAAGATGGCTCGGGAACTTTTGAGATCTTGTCCGCGAGAGAGTCCTCTGAGCGAATCATTTCGCGAGGATTAACACCGGACAACTCCACAGAAACTCAATGCCTCCCCGGTTTCGACCATCGGCTCTGACTCCTTCGTCACCAAGGACGGTGCGGTCGACATGAAAGATGTCGCTGATCACTGATTCGGGTATTCGGACCGCTATCAAGTATTCGTCAGAAAAGTCACGGTACCAGAAGAACTGATTGAGCCTCTAGCCTGGTCCGGAATTCTGAATCCCCGAGCTGGGGTTCATCGGAATCTTCTGCCCCTCGCTGATTATTCGCGAGTGAGATTCGTCATCGCCGTCTCGCTACCCTTTAGCTGCGACGAGCTTCGCTCGAGTCCCCGAGACGGACGTCGATAATGGTGAGCTCATTGTATCATATCGAATGAGAAACGGATAGAGTACCTCTTCCAAATTGCATATGTATGTAGGAATTCCCATAACAGACTCATATAGAATGTCGACGATAGGATGGCAGGTCATTGGCGCATTCAGAACAAGATAGTTCAAAACGGAACTAGGACGATCGAAGGGCAGTTCGCGAATTCGGTGGGCGATACGCGGATGAGAAGGGGAGATCCTGGCAGCGCTCTACCAGCGCCCTCGGAGGTCGGTTTTTCAGACGCTGTCTCCGTTTTTTACCTTGATTAGTATCGCTCTGATTCCGCAGGGGGTTCCACCGGGTGAATACTCCGATTGATATAGAAGACAGGCGAGTGAACCTATCTTGCACGGAATTGCTCACATGAGCTGGGCTCACATGAGCGAATCGCATGAAAAGAATCGTCGATACAGCGGAAAGCTAGATTGCCTGATTCGATTCTGCAGTCGATCACCATCGGTCCGTTCTGCAGTCGATCTGGAATATCAGCTCATGCAAACTCATCGGAGAACGCGGGAGAGCCGCAACACGACAGAAAAGGAATCACTGATTGCGCAAGCTCGGGCAGAGTTCTCATCGCCGCAGATTTCGTATGGACAACATAGAGAGAATCACCTCGATCAGTAATCGACCACGTGCCCATTCAGGGATTTCGAATACGACCGGGCTCAGGAAATGCTCGAGGTTACAAGAGTGCGCGAATGCGTTTCCGTTCTCGGCGTCCATTGCATGAGAATGCGCTTCCTTATGACGCCGGAAAAACTCGAGGCGCCTAGGCAGCCGTAGACAGCGCACCGCGTCTCGTTTTATACACTTGATGCGTCTCACCCGTGCTCTCGTCCAGACGACAGATGCGACCACGGCGACGGGTTTCCCGATTCGAGAATCCAAGCCGATCCCTTCTCGATTCTTTCAGGTCCGAAACTCATTCAAATATGTTACTTTCCGGAGTTCGAGCATTCAATTCAGAAATTAGGTCGAGCACGGAGCGTGGCTTGGTAGTCCTATTCGGCCGGCAGCGAGCACTCAACCCGATATCAGAATACTTGTTCACGCCCAGGGTTTGCTCTCGGGGATCAAGGCTCCGCTTTCCGGAAGGATCAAGCCGTTTTTCCCAACTCGGCCTTGGACTTGGCTTGGGACGCAGGCACGGGGCAGCATCAGGATCGATTGAGAGACGGAAAGCATTGAGGTCAACAGCAGAGGACTTTCTGTCGAATCAGGAGACTCTCTCATGCTGCTCACTCCGCGAGATCCAAGTGCTCCTACTCAGACAGAGCAATGGGTCGAGCTTTGTTGGCGACGTTTGTTCGCACAGCCTACAGCGATCAAACTCGATCCTTATTATCCATTATATGTACTTTCAATTATATTTTTATTCACGCGAGCTTCCTGGTGGCTTCCCCATATGGTTCGGATTCCTGTCTGCTAGGTGCTTCGCAAGCTTCACATATAATCCAAAGTGAAATTCAGTAGCATGTTTTTCTTCTCTCGCAATGGGGTCTCTACAGAGATACATAGGAAGGAAGTCGTTTCGCCCTGAGCTTCTTCTCCCGAGCTCCGAGGAAAGTTCGCTTGCTAGAGCTACTGGGCATCCCTTCTACACGATCCGAAGAGCCGATTTGAGCCACCAGATTCATAGTTACGACGGAAGACACCCCCCGACCAAGTTCCGATCAGCCTGCATGAATGATCCATGGAACAAGACGCAATAGTACAATGCTGAGTGAGAGCGGAGCACGTTTCGAAAGAGAGGGAAAAATGCCGTGAGTGACCCCGATCCGTGGTGTTCCCATGGGCTAGGGATTCTCTCTCGTGAATTCGCGACAACGAAGATCGGGTCCACGGGTATCCGGAGACCGCTCGCACGATGTCTACCCGAGCAAGACTCAATGATTCCTTGGCAGAGCTCGAATCCTCGATCTCGCATCATTCGTCGAGCACCTACGAGATCTATATCAACGGGGCTCAAGTGGACTTCTTAGCTAGATTGAGAGCTGATAACTGCCCCGGAGCAAGTCTGACAGATTTCGAGATAACGGGATACATCGGACGAGGGGGCTATGGGAGAGTTTATCGTGCCAGGACCAAGGACGCGGAGGTCTGCGCACTCAAAGTGCAGCTCGTGAGCGCGCAATCTCTCCGAGAGAAGACGCTGTCATACGCGTTCGATTCGCCTTTCATCGTAAGAGCGTTGTTCGCTTTCCAGGACGCCCAACTATTGTATGTAGCGTCTGAATTCGCCGACTATGGTGATCTCAAGACGCACTCGATGGCCATCCGCGATTTCGGCTCTGACGAACTAGTCAGACTCATAGCCGCTCAGGTTGTTCTGGCTTTCGAATATATGCACTCCTGCAATCACGCTCATGGTGATCTGAAACTCGATAACGTACTTCTGTTCAAGAATGGATACATAAAGCTCTGTGATCTGGGCGTCACTCAATCTGTCTTCGATGAATCCTACGTGTTTGAGGGAGATGATGAACACTTGCCGCCGGACAAGCTAAACGAGAAGCTCTGCAGAATCTCTCCTGAATGGTCGGGACTCGGAACTTTCATTAATATACTGATACCGAGAGGAGAGAGTCAGATCACTTACCCAAGGCCTACATTCGGTACCGACTGCGTGGATCTCTTGAATCAATTGGCTAATCGGGATCCAAGTCGCAGAATCGGCTTTGCGACGCAAGTCAAAAATCACGCCTGGTTCAGAAGTGTCGATTTTGTGAAACTCTTCTACCAGACGATTCCGATGGTAGACAAACTGCCTCCAGGTTTGGAGCACCCTCAGATTCGTCCGACGAACGCCGTGGATCTCACAGATTTGAGCGAGTGAGATGAGAGCGAACCTGCGCTTTTTCCAAACCTCCGCGACTTTGTCAAATCAAGAGAATAGTCACTAGATGGAGCGCTCACGTGCGGAACCGATCGAGAAAGCACCGTACATTCGCCGCCCCCTCCCGTGAGCGAAGAATAAACGGTATATGGAACATGGATTACCCGCTTGTGCTCCCGGCCGCACGCCCCTGTAGATTCCGCGAGAAGTATCTCATAGGAACGATTGAGCCTCCGTCCGCATGCACGGCTTCTCTTCGGTGAAGTCGGCGAGCCCGATGGGTCAGTCAGCATTGGAGAGAGCCGAGTGTCCGGCTGCCGAAATCGCCTGTGGAGACTGCTTATACCCGCAACTGATTTCCAGCCCCAAGCGCCCCTCCAGCGTCGAAGCCTCCGAAGCTCCTGTCCATACCCCGTGACAACGGAGCTCAAATTCTTCTCCCCGCGGTCATCTGCGATCTGCGACCCCAATCAGCGGACACGAAATTATTTGATTCAGAAATCCCCGAGAGATCATTGGACGAGATGGAAGACGATCTCGATTCTCTCATCTCGCGGAATCATAAGAGCTCGAAAATTTCTCAAGCTCAATTGTGGTTTTTGTTTACATCTTTGCCTCTATACTCATGGCGATTGGAAGCTCGACCAAGTTCAACGGGTTCACAACGAATACGTCAGGTTGTGTATGAATTCAGTCAATCAATCAATCTCCGATCTGTCTCGAGGAGTCGATTGAAGACTTGCTGCCAAAGGAGCGAAGTCTCCCGCTGGGAGCTCCCGCGTCTGAGAGATGGGACCTAGGAACTAGTATCATTGATGGAGCGGGTCTTCCTGTAAAGGAAGACGATTCTGGGTGCTGCGAATCGTTCGTTTTCCGTTTTTCCTCATCCCCGAAGCGTCTTATTCCAACGGATGCCCATTCCATGATGAATAATGAGTCGTGCACTCGGTGCTGGCTCTTTCAAGCTCTTTCAACAAAGCATATAAATAATCATCGTCACCGGACCTTTCTTCTGACTGAGAGCGAATCTATTGCACGCAATTATCCCTCCCGGTCCGAAAGAGTCAGGACCGGTTTTTCTACAGCTCCGTTCGCCAAGCTCACGAGCGATGCAAGAGTAGTAACCTTGAGTCCGGTGTTCTTCAATCGACGGACGCCCGTTCAGACTGCAACGATACGATGCATTTTGGGGTGCATCTCGGGAATCAGCTTGTAGAGGATTCAGCCGACTTAGTCTTTGAGAGGTAGAGGGATACGTGCGTGAGCTCGGAGAGAAAATGCGAAGTATATCATCCCGGGAAGCGAAATCACATTCCGTATCGCGCCGTGTAGATCCTGAGGGGGGCAATTCGACATGGTTTCGGAGCTCCTACTGTTTCCAAGCAGCGGACACAACTCGGCCACGCTCGAATGCTCAGGCAATTACCGGATTTTGGACCGTTTTCCTTCGAGATCGAGAGAAGCGACTCGGCTCTCCGGGTGTGGAGCTATTACGAGAGTATTCCGAGAGGAATATCCGGGATTTCCTAGCTCATATCCAGAACTGCGTTTCACCGCGGCCATTTCAATTGGATACCCGGAACTCTGCGAGGGAATCGGAGACCACATGTTTCCGCGCATATTTTTCCGCATGATACCCGAGAGAACTAGAGCGAGACTTTCGCCGAGCCTATAGCCTACAATATCAGCAGGTTCCCGTTATTGAACCTCGAGCCTCCCTCAATCGACTCGGAGATGTCTCGTGCGGTGCAGAGGAGGCTTTACTTCAATTCCACCAGCCGAGAACCGCCGGGAGGCACCGCTCGACTGTATTCTATGACACCAGCGGAAAGCATCGAGAAGATGTCAGAAGAATGAAGAGAAGGAAACCCTGCAAGATGTAGATCCAGGACGTCGCTCCCTTCTGCGATTTCCACCGTATTTCCCGAGCAAGTGATTGCTCCGACTGACTGGCATTGAGAAGCCAGAGCGACCTTCGAGAGGAATGAACTGCGAGTACCTGTATTCGACTCGTGTCCGTACGAAGAAAGGCTTCCCATGGCCTGAATGAAGTCCGAGAGTTTCTTTCCTATTATTCGAAAACCTCCCGTCGAAAGCAGAAGAAAAGCACTTGGAAGAGGAAAGTTGGAATTTCAAATATCCAAGTCGAGTTCGGCTCGGCAGCGCACCCGCTCACCCCTTCGGCGGCCTGACACACGTTTCCCCGGATCTACGACAGCGGCCGCCCCCGTCGCTAGTGCTGCCGCCGAATCGAAAGTAGAGAACGCTCTGAGTGTAGAGATTTACTGACGGCTTCCAGTCGCTCCATTTTTATCGATACCGCAATACTCGCCTCGCTTTCATTCCGCGTGGGCTCAAGCGACGACATTCGCAATGCATGCGAGCTTCCGCAGACGGACGTTATTGCGGTATCAGTATGCTTAAGCTTAGCGTCCATTCGCGTCGTATAAATGGTCGGATGGGACACGATGCATAATTTCCAGGTCCGTCAGGCCAAGTCGGCCATGACTCAGCCTTAACTTTAAGTTCTGTCCAGCGCGCACGGTAGGCGCCTCCTCATGCACGGAGAGGACATCCGCCGGTATTCAAGCGAACTCAAACCGATTCCCGATTTCAGCCCGAGAAGTGGGTCCTGGAACGCGGGAATCTCCGTGCCCGCGTTCCTCGGAGAAGTTCCCTCATCCTGGTGACCGTTGCGCCAGGGAATTCGATGATCAATCGAATCACTAGGCTATATTCCCACCTGACTCGGATCTTCCTCCTCGTCCGGCTCGCGCCTTCGTTATTCCTCGACTCGACAACCGGGATGATTATTCCACATTGATCGCATCGAAACCAATATGTTTCCTGCTGGTCGATGCAAATCCCTAGCTCGACGACAACATCCGCGAGCTTCGCCTCCGGCGGAAGGCACTCTCTCGGACGCAATTCGATGTCAACACGCGCTCTGGGCGCCAAATATTGCGTCGGTCCTCCGTAGACATCGCGTCACCTGTCTCACGCATAGAGTCACACTGAAACAAATCTTCGCTCTGGAACATCAGATCCGAACGAGGGAGGCGTAAGAGACCCGGATATCGAGGATCTTCCCGTAGGAATCGGACGAAGACGGGAAGAGGATATTGCTTCCCCAAACTCAAACTCTAATACATACATATACAATATATCACAAACTTCATAATAACGTCTATAACTCTAGGCTCCAGGGAAAATTTTCTGGGCTCTGGATCGGGACATCCGACGCCGGTGATGAGTGAATACTAGATGAATGGTTCAGAGGTCCGAGCTTCCCCACGTTTCCCGTTCAATTCCTTTTCGGTCCCAGCGTCAGAACACGTTCTTTTCGTTCAGCGTGGGAGACCAGTTCTCGCGGAAGTGAGCGCATTTTGTGTCAGTGCTCCGTTCAGGCTGCGCATCAATCTTCGGTTCCATTAACATGCGTCCGTAGGAACTACTGCAGCGAGCGTGGCTTGCAACTCTGTGTTCTTAGCGGGTCGGTCGGACGTGTGTTGTTCTTGATGCTGTGCTCAAAAGAAAACGGAGCAGAGAGAGCTAGCTATGTAGCTGTGTCCGCGTGGTAGTTCAGTAAATCTTAAGTGCGCCGTTGCCGACGAAAGGCGGCCCGTGAGTAGGCCCGACGTCGCTTCGGCGAGTGGATGAGGGTGGTCAGGGGAAGGCGAAAAGACTTGAAAACGGGGAGGATGTCTGAGGCACGCGGGCAGGTTGGCGAGTGTTCACGAATGCGTAGCCGGCGAGGCAGAGCTTTCGAAGTTCTCCCATTGTGTCCGATCGTTTGCTCGTCGCTCCTCGTGTTCCTCTGTACACGGAAGGGCTTGCTGTGAAGTTATTCCGATGCGCACTCCTCTTCCGTGCCTTCTTCGGTGGAGCGGTCCCTCGTCGCGTTGTTCGCGGCTTCCGCTGCGTTCTCTGCATTCCGCCTAATTGGGTCGCTCTGCGATGTCGGCACTTCTCAGATAGAAATACTATTTGTATCAATAGCCGACTGGCGGGCCAGAGAGCCAGCGCCAAGTCATCTGGCGATCACAGCATCGTCGCGGACTTAATGTTGCGACACAGACTCGTCGCCCGTGCCAATCTACTTGGCATAGATCGGCTCGTTATAGCTCGACGCGGAGCGTTACGTGTCGAATGCTCGACTTCGCTGAATTTCGTCGTCCCCCCCCGCCCGATGAATTCAGAGCTTCATCGATCCATGGCTTGCGCTGCCCTTCCGTTCCGCTCGGTGTCTTTGTCGTCGTCGTTGTTGTTCGCTCCACGGGGAGCAGGGAACAACAACTCTCTGAGATGAGCTCGTTACGGGGCCCGATGACGGAGGCGGCGGAGACGTGATGGCAACAGTAATCATGATATTTAGACCGATGGAAAGGGAGTCGAGGGAGATCTACCTCGGACTGATAGAACCCAAGAACGTCGCATCGGTCTTGGACTCACACTCTCCGTACGTTCGAGAGGCGCAGAACGTGATAGCCTCCGGCGAGTGCCCTCCTAGGTGAAAACAAACGACTGGAGCTGACTTCGGAAAGAAACTCCTCACGCATGCCCGAAACTCTCGTGTAGATCTCGATGTTGTTTCATTCTAATTTGATTGCCTGGGCTGCTGTGCGATTCAGGCCGCCAATTCAGCGGAGAATTCAAGCATCTGAACGATTGCTTAGCAGATGCCCGAAAGTCTATGTTGCTTTATGAGTCCGTTTTCGGAGTCCATGTCCGACTCGGGGCAGGACAGCTGCGCTCTCTTGGTGGAGGCGCCTGCCAGTGATAATGACTTCACGTCGCGAGCAATCCGGAGCTTGTCGCGGAGGGGACTCGCAGGAGCGCCGGCCACTCATTTCGTACAGTACCAATGTTCCGTGGTGTCGGAACCTAGAAGGATCGCCGAGCATCGCGGAGCTCCTTTTCCCGTCGACGGAGATACATTGGAAGACCAGAGCGTTCATTTGGACGACCGACCGGAGCTTTCCACGGAAGTCGTCACAATC